TGTTCATTGTTCATCGTCGTCACTCGCCAAGATTTTCCCTCAAATTGTGACTGGCCTATCGGAAAGCGTTTGTATTCATCATATTGTTTTAAAATATCTCATATATTATCTTCTTCTTTGTTTCACCGTTGGTCGTAAGTGGGCTGACCTCTTGTGGTGACGGATTACAGCTTCCAAAATAAAAACCATACCCAAGCAAATCATACCATTATGATTCGCAGGAATAAAACAAAAAAGTGCAATGGAAATTGGCTGTTGCCCACCCGAAAACACTGCACAACCACGACGCGTTTCGATGTAATTTCATCTCATCAGGTGGAGACAGCAGGCCTCGATCCCGCGACCATTGGAATAGTAGCCCACACCACTACCGCTTTGGCTACCGGGTCATGGTGGGCAACGCTTTTTGGCACAACGGTAAATGACTAATTGGAGGGTCAAGTTTGGACTACACGTTGTGTTATTGGATTACGACACGTAACCTCAATGTAATGGACTGTGATTCACATTGGAATGAACCTTAGTCACTGCGATCACTGGGACAGTATTTAAATTAGATTGAAAAAAGCGTTGCCCACGTTTGCCCGGTAGCCAAACTGGTATTGGTGTGGGCTACTGTTCCATTGATCTGGGATCGTGGCCTGCTGTCTCCTCCTGATGAGATGAAATTACATCGAAACGCGTCGTGGTTGTGCAGTGTTTTCGGGTGGGCAATACCCAATTTCCATCTGCTTTGAATACGGTCCCAGCGATGACAGGGACTAAGGTTCATTTCAATGTGAATCACAATCCATTACATTGAGGTTGCGTGTCGCAATCCAATCACACAACGTGTAGTCCAAACTTGACCCTCCAAAAAAGTGCCATATTTGATTGATCCGCATGACAGAACGGGCTGAGTCTTCATCGCCTATAATGTATGCATAAAACAGCCCTAAAATAGACATTTGATATCCAGTTCTGATGGCCTATTTACTATATTGCCACACGGGCACAGAGTCAGTTGGAGCATGGAATTGCGGGTGAAACCCATCGTGGGAATACCCTGCATGGAAGCAAGTCCCCTGGGGACAGTTGTTGAACGGAGCCTGGGATAATAGTCGGTAAGCAATGACACGTAAGACGTGTCAAATACGACAGTATGGAAGTCGGAGTCGACTGAACCCAACGTATATTGTGCAGGCTACAAGAATAGGAAGCTAATCAGACAGAGCGAGAAACGTGCAGCGAGGTACTCACCAAAACGGTTTGTGTCAACAGACTTGCAGTCAGTAAACCAAGTAGACGTTTCGAAGGTTTAAACAACCGTAAAATCCAATGTTACAAAATACTGAAGGAGATTGTTTTCCGGCACACTACACAGTTCCATGGATGACCGTATTACTTTGCATGAACTTTCAGTGAAATCTACATTTATTATTGTTCCCAGATTCTTTATCTCTTTACTTTTTCCAAACTGTTAATCACTTCAAAAACCCATATTGGAACCATTGATAAAAGACGAAAAATTCACTATATTACGCGATCACGATGTACATGTCGATAAGACCACCCAATTGGTCTGTGCCTCGCAATGTTGAGGAATAAAACGTTTATTTATTTATTTACTGCAAGTCGAAATATCGGTGTTCCTGGACTTCAAGATTGCATTTGATTTATTCGATGGATACATTCAGTACGAAATAGTTGCGCAGAAAGTGTCCTTATAAAACAGGCAGACATTTTACTTGCTCTGCACTAGAACACTACAGGCCGCGTCAGGGTCTACGGGGACCTGTCGGTTGCCTTTCCGACAACAAGTGGCGTTCGTCAGGGTTGCCGAATTGCCCCATTTTTGTTTAATTTCGTCGTGGAATCCATCATGGAGTGTTCCCTTGCGGAGCGTCACACTTCAGGCGTTGTGGTGCTGGCCGGTGAAAGGCTAGTTGATCTTGATTATACGGACAAGATGGGCTTGTACTTTTAACAATGCTGGGGCGGCGCAATCAACCCTGTATAACCTCTCTAGAGTGGCCCCCATTATGTGGTATGCGCTTTGTACCTTCATAGTGCAGTGTTGCAGCAGGACCATCAGCCACTTGATGACCCCTTGACCCTCGATAGCTAGGAACTCAAAGTAGCTGATCAATGCACTTATATTGGCACCTGCATCAGCAACCATGGGCGAATAGCAACTGAAGTCAGTCCACTTATTTCAAAAGTCAGAACTGCTTTCTTGTATCTGCGACATCTTCGGCGACAGAAAGTGGTTTCCCAAGGTTTGAACGGCCGTGTTTTCAAGGCCACAGTAAGGGCCGTACTATTCTATGGGAGTGAGACTTGGCCCCTTCGATCTGAGGATCTACCGTGCATACAAGCCTGTCTGCGCGGCCTTGATGGTGTCAAGTGGTACCAGTGTGTCCACAACGGTGATATGCGTAGTCAAGTAGTAGGCAGGGATAACCAATCTACTTAGAACAACAGGTAGCACCGCATAAACTGCGTTGGCTTGGACACGTACTACATGTGCTTGGTCACCACTTACCTAGGAAGACCTTGTTTTGTCTGCCAGATGTAGGGTAGCGCAAGGCTCGAGGTGGACAAAAGTTGCCTTGGCAACGGGAAAAGAAGACACTGACGACCGAACTGCCTGCCGTCGGTCCGTCTCGCCTTCCAGGCTGGAGTCCACGTGACTCACCTTGCGTCTTGCTCGAGACTTTGCTGGACCAGTTTGGCAGGTGATACCAGTGGTGCGTCTGTTGTCGTCTCTTAGTCGAAGTGCCAGTTTAAAGTGCGTTTGGTGGTGAGTTATCTAGGGGGCAACGGCTGATTGTGAGGCGCGGCAGTGAAAGCCGCAAGGAATCTGTCTCGCTGACGCCGCCTTATCTTTGCGCTATAGCCGATTGTTTGTGACGGTATATTTTGACAAGGTGTCGGCGCCTTGATCTTAAATGCCTTCTTTGGGCATTACGGTTTTCTAATATGCCCCTTTCTCTCCATCTTATTATTCTTTGTTCCGTAGGCCGGTATGGTTGTATGGCAATGAAGCAGCAGTTCAAATGGCTGATGTATTGCTGTTGCTGATGATAATGAGGAGCAACCATTCGTTTTAAGGGTTTTAACAGAAATTATTTTCGACTTTGAACGTCTCTGGGCTGCAAAATTTTGTGGCACGTCAGTACAGACAGCGCACTAGTCTCCGACTGTACTTTATTGATACAACACTGAGAAGGTGTGTATACTGTCCTACACAAGTTCTTTTACGGCAAACCCTTCGTTCAATAGACACCTCACCTCTTTACCGCAACAATATGTCCAGAGATGGCATCTTGCCGTTCTCCTGCATCTCACAACTAAATTATGAAGATGCTTGTGCACTATTGAACTGCTTCATTATGTGATAATGATTAGTATGGGAATCAGAAAAAGGAACGTACAGTCCATGACATTCTGCCGTTCAAACTCCAGACATTTGGTACTGGTGATACTCTCCTAGGGTGGATCCGAAGCTTTCTCCTACACCGGAGCTTGGAGGTACAAGTGCATGAATCCCTGTGATATCACATCCAAGTTCAATGCGGAGTACCAGAGAGATTGGTACTAGGACCACGTTTATTTTCAACGTATATCAACGATATTATGCGCCTCATAAACTCGAACTGCCTGCTTGATACCGACAACATTAAGGTGTTAAGGGCAATCAAAATACCAGGTGATACCATAGTACTTCAAGCCGACCTGGATAGGGTTTACACGTGGTCAATCCAGAATATACTTTGATTCGATGTGGACAGAGTGCTGCACTTACAGAATCAGGCGGTGTGCCCCTATAAACTCAAGAACCAGGAGCTTCAAGCATCTTCTGGCGAAAATGATCTGGGCGTTATTGATCCAGGTTGATCTTGGATGTTCGAATCAGGCTGAAGCCCTGTCAAGAAGTAGCTTTCAGCACTTGGGCTTCCTGAGGCGTGCATTCATACCATTCGCCCCAACAATTTTTCACAGCTTTTCGGCTCATACATACGTTCACATGTGGAAAATGCAATACACGTCCGGCAGCAATGGCTGAGGAAACATCTTGCCGTCTTGGAGACACCCCAACGCCGGGCAAACAAGAATGTCAATGGTTTGTATACTTTGCCATAGAACGACGGTCTCCAGTGCTCAGGGTCTTCAGCGGACAATATCGGCGATTGCATTTGGACCATATTCTGACTGACCAGATTTTGTGAAATCCCAACCACAACTGTAACTAGAGAGACCACCATCTTAAGCTGGCAGAGCAGTACATTCGTTTGGAATGCCGGCGGAATTTCTTTGCCGTACGCGTTTACCAAGCTTGGCTTACCCTACCGGAATCTGTCATATGTGCTCTCACGCAGGCAGAGCTCAAACCCCGAGTTGACTGTGCACTCATTTCGTTGCATCATCTCACATGACTCATTGCTCATGCCTAAACACGAATGTCTGTTAGATATTTTACTACCAGAAAATCCCCAGAATTTGTTCCATCATTTTCACCTCCTTTATGTGTTCGCAAGGAGGCGGCACAATGTTCACTAACGTCCTATTTGTCAACGCTACTTATGGACATACAGTCGAGCTAGTTTTGATGACTATACTTCCGTGAGTCTACTGGTCTGATCGCAATTTCGTCGGGATATTTCCATATTCTTTCACATTCCTCATGACCACCCTAAGGAAAATATGAAGCTGCAGATTTTCGCCTGTATAAAACCCTCGTTCCACTGTTCATTGATAACAGACAAATGATATGACTACGGGTTAAAAGTTCCAACACTCCACAACTTTTTTGAGGTTGTTTTGACACTTTCAAATCCTCTGTTGTCTTACTGACGCTTAGGTCTCCAAGTTTCATTTGCTGACTTAAATAACGGTGTATTTCACCTAAAACTTCTTGAATGGGTACGTCAAATAATGTGTAAAAACCATAGTCATCTTTGACGTAAAAGTTAATTGACGACCGAACAAATAATCCTAGAATTTTATTGTGATTGCAGCCATTAGTTGGCAACGATCAAGAGGGGACTATCCAAGTGTATCTAGCAAATCACACACATTGAGAATTTGCCATGTTATTAGTGGGTGGAATTGTCGAGCCGGAGAAGAATACGAGGCCAATAAATCCTTTAACGGAAACAGGTAATTTTTTGTACATCTTTACTAAGTACCTCTTTACAGAACTATTCTCAAGAGTACAAAGAAATGATTATATTGAAGCACACCCATCAGAGATCCACTTTCCTTTTGTAAACATACGTTCGGAAAAGAAACCAAAAATGCTTAAGTTAATCAATGTTGGAACATCGACCACCAGAATACACATAATTCCACCGCAAACCTCATTTTTTAAATGCAGTTACAAAACTCCAGTAAGTTCCATGGATTTGGTGCAGTAAACCACTATTTTGGAGCTCCCATGAAATTCTCTTACAAATCTGTTGAGTTTACTATCATTTTATCCAAATTTATGATAAAATACCACGCTTCATGCTCCGTTTTTAACTTATAGTCACTCAGCAATGAAGCAGCTGATGTCATCCAGACATTGCCAACTGCAATACATTGAATCGGTTGTTTCCGCATGCAGTCAAATATGCTGAAATACTGTCGTTTGGATCTAAACATAGATTCCTTCCGTTCCGTTGAAAGAACAATTTGTTTTTTATTCTTGCGCACATATATGGCTGGATTGCCAGCATCCGTATCTGGATATGCCTGTCACTGTGGCTTCCATGGGGACAGCCACAGGACACCTGCGCCTATATATATATATATATATATATATATATATATATATATATATATTTGTTGACGAACTCGAGCCAAGCGACTTCTGGTGGTTCTTCGGGAAGGAACAACCAAGTTGTATCGCTGCCGAGCTGGGCTAATCGACCTTAACTTGTGATGGTTAGCACAGTCTCCTCGTTCTCATTTCGATATTTCGCATAACAGATGAAGTTGCCACTGATCACTGCGTGATCACTGCGACCCAACGGGTAGTCTAAAACCAACACATCAATCATATGCTCCCCGTTGGTAAGCACGAGGTCCTGCACAGATGGACTGTTACCTTTTCTGAACCTAGTGGGCAAATGTATGCGATTGTAAAGCGGAACACTGGTTGCGAGATCTTGTAGATTGGCTTTGAATTGTTCTCCGATCGTGGCAGGAGTTTCTAAACAATGTACGTTGAAATCACCCATGATAAGAGTGTGAGTGTACTTTTGTTGTAAACTGCATCTTAAAGCAGTCGCTAGGTGGCAGTCGGTTTCGGGTGTATAGTTAGTGGGCCGTACACTAAGACAATGAGACAAGGGTCCCTGCCTTTTAACTGCAACCGGCACCAAAGAGAGTCGGGTGACTGTGAGTCTGAATACACCACGGCTTCGCACTGTAAGTCGCCTCCGTGATACAGAATTATCTCTCCTACTTTTGTTAGCCGATCGTTCCGGATCAGTGACATACTCGGTAGCGTCCGTCATTCCAGTGTGCAACCATGTCTCGGTGATACGTATGACATCATATGACCCGGAAGATTGGCGATCTTTCAGTTCGGCCAGTTTCTTAAAAAGACTCTGAGCATTCGCATCCGTGCAGGCCAGTTTCTCGGTCTTTAGGATCCCATAGAGGAGTAAACGGGTCAAGTGTGGCAGAATGCCGACCGATGGGAGGTTGGCAGTTACTCGTTTTTCTGTTGGGATAATGGTACGTCGTCTGAAACTTGATTCGGCCAAGGTTCGTCCCAATCTTCGTTTAGACCCACGTCAGAGTCGAGTAAAGCAGCAGTCAAGTTACACTTCCACACATTCGTCGGTACGCTTGCTGCTTCAGGTGCTTTTATATTTGAACTGTGCAAAGCTTTTGCACCTTCAACCGAATTTCAGCAGGAAGATGTGATCCATGCAAGTCCGACCTGAACGGGACTCAGATTGCTCTTTACTTATGCTATGTTTGCATCCCAGGCTGAGCCTCCATAGAAGCAGCTTTGCAAGCACCGTGGAAGAAACGTAGATGAGAATAAACTCTCTGTGGTTGGCGTAGATAGTTTGACCACACTTTTTGAAAACAGGTACAACATTCGTTAAGCTCAACCGAGATGGGAAAACTTCATTGACCCAGATTTCTTGGAAAAGAGAAGTTAACTCCTGAACGAGTGATGGGCCGCCATCTTTGAAAGGAGCCGGAGGGAGTTCATCTGGGCCAGGTGCTTTGTAGCGCTTTAAGAAACGAAGCTCGTGGGCAACCTCAGCTTCGGGTGGTGGTAAAGCTTCTACACCATAGGGGGCGCTCTGGGCTACATTATGAAAATTTATTGGTGCTGCTGGCCAATTAAACTGTTGCTCAAATTGCTTGTTAACAGTGGATTATCTTCTCACTGCTTTCGCATGAAACCGCTTACAATCGGCATTTCACCCCCAGTAGATCGGAAATTCCTTTCGGTGGCCACTTCCTCCATCTCAATAATCCGCTGCGTACACCAGGCCTCGCGCTATTCCCGGAAAAGCTGTTTGAGCTTAGCGTTAGTAGTCTTGCGTAGTGTATGGTATTTGACGCTAGCAGCGATTGCTCGACCGACTTCGAGAAGTTAGAGGGATCTGCAAACATCCAGTGGTTGAAAGGACTACTGATGAAGCCACAGACCAGGGTTGCAGAGTTGTACATGACGCCGCGGATGTGTATCTAGTGTGTTTCAATGTCTATGCATGAGACGGTCTTCAGTCCTGAGGCCAAAGCATACTGAAATGCTCAGAGAACGTTTGGGGCAGAAAGCTTAGCTACGTCAAACCATTTCTGACGACACTGCTAGGAGCCACCAAAATGTAGCGCAAACTTGGCACACACCAGCGCGTGCTCCGAAGTGAGATAGGTATTCTAGATTGATTTGCAATTCTGTATGCTACCATGCCAGCGATAGCTAATAGCGATGTGGTCAATCTGTGTTCATGTCTGGCTAGGTGATGGGGGTCTGCAGGTGGTGCGTTGGCGCCAGGATCCCAGAAAGTTAACGCTCGACAGAAAGAGCCCGTGATCAGTGCAAAGCTGAAGTCGTCGATTGCCGTTGACAGTTCTGTGAGTGCCATGGTCGTGTTGGTCACCGATTTCACCTTCGTCAACTTCAAGTCTACCGACCTGCGCGTTCAGGTCCCCGGCGAGCAGTACGATGTCGGTACGGCGCTTTTTACGGAGAATGTCAGCCAGTTGACCGTAGAACTCATCCTTAACTGACTTCGGGCTGCAAATAGGGAGCGTACTCTGCGACAATGAATAGACAGCGTCTGCCGGCTTTGTGCCTGAACGGTTGCACTGAAGTTTCAAGTCGGATCGCGAATAATCGGCTGTTAACAGGGATCCAGTCTAGTAGCGCGGTCTCATCATGTGCGCTCAGCGCAATCCCCAAGCCAGCATAATCATCGGCTTCGGCGGTTGAGTCTGCAGATAGGCGCAAAGTGAAAATGTCAGTGGAATTCGCAGACGGTGAAACTAGTCGCAGCGCTTGCCACAGTATTGTAAACAAGTCTGGCTGAGACAGCAGAAATCAATGGCCGTAGTTTCTAGGGTGTGAGCGAGGGCTGCCTGTGATCCAATTTGCATCTGCTTCCGAACATTGAAAGTTGCCAAATTGAATTGGGAACGGGGCGCTAGGAACTGGTTTGTTAACACTACTTGGCTCATTCTCGGACATAGGCTCCTGATCCTTATAGCGAGAATGTTCTCCCAAGGCGACACAATGTTCTGAACTAGAAAACGGAGGGCGCGGACCAAGAATGGGGAGTTGAACAAACCTGAAAAAAAGTGACTAAACGGTGGTGCGGTAAAACGTGGTTCGGCAAGTTAAGCCGCCAGCACCTCGGCCGATGAGATAAATTAGAAAGTGTGAGAGCTCTAGTGTGGGTTAGGTCTTTATGATCCAATGCTCCGGGTGGGGTCCCCAAAGTCAACCCTCTTCCTAAGCCTGCGCAACAGGTAAGTAACATGTCCATACAACCTATGGATCCATGTCTCAACCTATGGAGTCCAAGGAGTTGGCTCTGATTATTTCTTTGGAGTATAATTACTCGTCTGTTTTCATTTGAAGTGACATACACCATTCTAAATCCCAGTGCTGAGCAACAGGTCTACAAAGCTTCGAGTCTCAATTGTATGTAATCATTTTCTGCACTGAACCGTGTCTTTAAGAATGATACCATGCAAATCTGAGCGTGATACTCGACAAGTCGAACGTTTTCCTCTTGTCGATGACGGTGTTTTCTGGTTCTGGTTCCAACGTTAGCCATAAGATTTGTGCTAGACCTATCTATCGAGATACGCTCATAGCATTTTGGATTGCGGAATTGGAAAATGAGCAGTTGATATCTATGTAAGAAGTAAAAAGAGAAATGAAATTGCCTCGTGTTGTGGATGCAATAAACTTGGCTACGTTGCGGCTGGTGTTGGAACAAGATCGAATGTTAGATCATTCCAATCGGGAACAATCAGAGAAGAGTTTGGATCGTAGGCGCTGTACTGATGATCCCATCCCCCATACAAGTGCCCAGTTCGATGTATCGGGACAAATAAAGCAGCAGCGCACTTCAGGCACCCAGTTTGCGTTTCCCGCTTAAGTCAGCTTATCGAATGTGCGAGTTACTGACAAAGGTTCCGCACCTTTTCGAGCCTGCGCTCACCTTCATTATGACAACTTAAAATGTATGTCCTCTGTGCCAAACGTAGAGACTATAGATTGCTTATTGACCTCAAGTAGTGTTGCATTCCAGCATGTCTGCGGTTTCTAACGACTTGTCTAGGCTCGTCCATCCTTGGAAGCTAGCGATGTTGCGCAGATGAAACCTTTTGTGATAACTGGTGAGTCGGTGACATTTGTAGCGCCTACAGACATCGCCGAGTGTCATGATGCTGTATCTTGTACTGATGGTGCCCAATGTTCTTTGATCGCCGATACACTGCTTGACGTTTCAGCGAATGACATTCAATCGCACATCGGTGATTCGACTCATCAGAACTCCTTTCCTTCATTTCTGCGCTCATTTGAGAAATTTGAACCGAACTTACGTGGTTCTCAGTCTATGATCAATTGTGTCAATCAACCAGCATAAGCTGTTGATCTATACAATTTTACACGCATATTAGCGTATTGTACCAAGCTTTTAGCGTGGTTCATTTTCGAAATAGCGTGCGGTACTTTCAAGTTAGCGAGGCTGAGAACGCCGATTTGGCGTCCTTGACACTCTCATTGGTTATGGGACGTAAACCAATGGGACACCGGTTAGAAGCTGCCAGCATAAGAGACAGACAGTCCAATGAAAGTGGTCGAGCACCACCTTCTGTTCTGCCTTGATGCCCCTCGAGTAAACCTCGATGATTGGTCTCC